CACAGAGACGGAGCCGGGGGCGACCCTCAGAGACAGCAGGCAGCATCCACTGACACACCCTCGGAGACACACGGCCACTTGGAAAGGGAGCCACGCAGACACGCACAGCCATCTTCCGGGAAATGGTCCTCCACGGCTCGCCATGCCGATGAACGCACACGTGAACCGGGAAGAATCCGGGCAGCTGCTCAGGGGTGTCTCCCTACTTGGTCCCTTCACCTCCACACCCAGGGGTTTGGGGGTTGGAAAGCACAGACTGCATTCTCTCCCCTCTGCCCGCCGCTAAGAGGGACAGGAGCCCCCTCCTCAGTGCTGTGCTGGAGGGAAGCACCAGTGTCTCAGCCTCCTCAGCCTCTTGGTCTCGCTGGAGGAAATTGTGAGATGCCCCCGCCGCCCCACCCCCTGTGCCTGCACTTCAAGAGCAGAGGACGGGAACCAAGGGGACCAGAAAGGCCAGGCTCCCCGGGGGCTGGAAATGGAAGCCAGTGGTCTGACACTGACCACCAGGGAGCCTTTGCTGCCAGCCACAGCTGCACGCCTGCCCCCTGCACACACCCACAGTGCCCGCTGGACCCTGTCAAGGGCCCTCATAGGGTCCTGCACAGGCATCCCATCCCCACGATGGGCCCAGGTGACAACATGCCCTGATACAGACACAGAAATGACTCTGGAGCCACAAGGATGTCTACACTGGGATCCACCCAGATTCCTCGGCTTTTTGACCCACTCACATCTGAAGACTCACATGCACACACCCTTGCACACTCTGGCCCAAGGCCTCAGAGCCTGGCCTCAAAGCCAGCTTGGTCGAGGTCAGGAAAAGGACCAGGAGCAACTGAAGCCCCCCACGAATGCCATCTGGTTCCCACAGGGCAGCCCAGGTCTTGGCTCTCTCTCTGTCCCCTCCCGCACCCCCACCATCACCTCTCCCTGCCTTGAACCCCTGCCATCCATCCCTCCCACAGCCCCCTGTGCTGCTCGCTCACCCCTCCACCCACCGCCACCTACTTGGCCTCCAGTAGCCCACCTGAGGAAAAACAGCTGGGCCATGGGCTGGCCTCTTTTCCTTCCCAACTCTTCTCTTGCTTCCTCCTTCCTCCAAGCAGTCCACTTGGATTTCTATGATTGGGAGGTGCTTGACCCTGCCCTCCATCCCTCTGGAGTGGCCTGCCCTCAGCTAGGAGGGCCTGCAGCTGGCCTAACAGTGATAACCAAAATGACACATCATTCCTTTCCTTGACCACACGCTACATGCCAGGTACAGCCCTGAGCCTAATCTCAGTGTGAGAAGTCATTATCATTATTGCCCATTGAAATATTTTTAATTATATTTTACTGCCCATTTCACAGACCAACAAAATCCTGTGCTTCCAGTCACGGGATTAGAAGATGCAGAGCTGGAGCTCAAACCCTGAGCTATCTCTGGCCAAGTCTCACACTCAACCTCTGCTCCCACGGCTCCACCTGGGAGCCCCTGAGGTCACATAAGACCTCTGGACCGGGCCAGCAATGCCTGGTTCTAGTCCCCCCTGTGTTAACCCAGCAGAGCCCTCAGCTCTGAGCTCCGTCTATCTGAGCTCAACCTCGCCCCAAGCATGGGATACTCTGTCCCAGCTGGTCCCCACACTTGCCTCCCGCCCCCATTGCCTCCCACCCCTACCCCCACCCCCAGCGATGGGCACTGAGCAGGCAGGGCCAGAGCCAGAGAGAAAATTTGCCATAACAAGGGGGGGGGGGGTCTCGTGTTGGCGTCAGGACGGTGAGGAGAAGCTTCACAGAGACAGAGACGTGGCCACAGAGACCCAGGGAGAGAGCAGGGGGACATCAGAGAGGCCCCAGCCCATCACCCTCCCTTGAGGGAATATGTATGTGATTGTGTGGAAATAAGGGTACGTGAACATTCCGCTGCTCCTGCGGCTGCAAGACAAGCAATGTCGGTGAACATGCGTGTCTGTGTACCCACTCAGGTAAGCCAGCAGCCTCATGTCTTGTGTCAAGGTGTTTGTCTTGTGTCAGGTCTGTGTGAGCGAAGACACACTTGAGTCAGCCTGTATCCGAAGGTGTCTGGCTGGTATCGCTGTGTCTCCGTGAGTTTATGTAGAGACACGTGCCCTATATCAACGGGTCCATGTGTGTTGGGGTATGTGTGCTGGTGGGGAGAGAACACAGGTCCACCTTTTCCTATGTCCCTAAGTTTGTCCGTCCATGGCTGTGTGTCTGGACGTCAGCACAAATGCGTCGTTCGTGTCCTCATCTTGGCGGCAGCGGTGGTGTATCTGTGTGTGTGCACATCCTGTGTGCAGTTCTGTCTGTTAGGAGTGGGGGGGCCTGCCATCTACCCCACTCCCCTCAACAGAGGACTCAGGCTCGTGACTGCAGTGGGCTCAAACAGCCCCAGCAAGGACCCCACCCAGCCACCCTGGATTTCGATGCTTTTTCCACCAAGAGATTTTTTCCCCCCCACATCACCACGTCCGCCCTTCCCCCTCGCCCACAGTGCCTTTCCCCGCCAGGGCCCCGCTGCTCCAAGCTCGTTCCTGCTCAATCATTTATTGACTTTAAAATCGAAGCCAATTCTGGTTTGAAAAAAAAAAAACCACACACACACACACACACACACACAACGAGGCCAGGGAGAGACAGAGTCCGAGACTCGAGGGGGAGGATAGTGCAGAGATGGGGCCAGAATCAGAGAGAGACAGGGAAAGACAGTGACAGTCACAGATATAGGACAGCGAGAGAGACGGAAAAGGGGCAGAGAAAGACAGAGATACAGGAAAAGACGAGACTGGCAGAGCAAACTAGGGAAGCAGAACGATTTATAAAAACAGAGACTAGCTCCCAGAAATGTGACTGGCAGGAGGGGCAGGCTGGACTCCACTGACCAGTCAACAGCAGCCGCCTGCCCAGAGCTGAGGAGCGCGATCCAGCGAGCCCATGCCCCCTTCTCTCCCCAGATGCCCTGCCACACTCAGGCCTCCAACACAGAGCTGACCCCTTGCTCCCTTCTGGGGTGTCAAAGAGCCAAGGCCTGGCCATCACCCGGAGTCTGGGGGCTACCCCAGCCCTTCCTCATCCTGTCACCAGTGGACCACCTGGTATTTTCTTTCCCAGGGTGCTGTGATGTCTGAGGAGCCAATTTCTCACCCAGGCCAAGGAGGAGGGTAGGCCTGAGAGCTAAGCATGCGGCTGGTGGGCCAAGGGCCGCTCAAGCATGAGGTCTTGATTCCACTAGGCCCCAAATAGCAGCCACATTGGCCAGCCATAGCTAACACCCAGCAGTATAGCGGTCGTCGAGCAGGGGGCTGGCCAGAGGGGCCACCCTGACTGAGGGTGGATGTGGGGGCCCCCCACACTGCCATCAAGGCCAGAGTGCTTTCTCACACCTGCATACACACTGTGACACATATGTGAGCATATGCACCTCACTAACGCGCACTCACACCTGCTTCTGTACAGGAAAACCCTCGCTCCTGGCCACACACATGTCCATACCACGCAGGGCTGCCCATGCCTGATCCACAAGGCCACATGCAGACACCAAGACTGACACTCACTCACACACACACGCATCTGTGGATACAAGCATTCTGTTTGTTGGAAAGGGGGCCGGCACAAACCCCTGACATACCCTCTAGCCCCTTGCCACAAACCACACCCGCATTGCAGCCATATTCACGTGGACTCCCATTCCCCAGCCTGGACACACTTGCACACAGCTGGCAAGGCTCAGATCGGCAGAGGGGACAATTAGGACCCCAGACTTGGCCTAGAGATGCCCCCCCAGACGTAGGCTCTGCTGGCGGGCAGAGCTAGGCGGCCCCCAGGTGTCCCTCTGCGGAGTCTGGGTTGCCAGCCATAGCATGGCCCAGAAGACTGTGCTACCAGGGCCAATGTGGGGCTCTGGGTAGCTTCTGTGCCCTCTCAGAGCCTGAAGCCACCTCCAGGGAGAGTGGGGTGGCAGGGCAGACATCCCCCCCGGCCTCTTTCGCCCTGCACCGAGCGCGGTGCTGGGAACTTCGCTGGAGGCGGGACGCGCTCTCGCAGCGCGCCAAGGTCGGCACAGCGCCCGCGGCTGACTCGACGGCGTGGCCGCAGCACGATCGGCAGTTGTCCGCGACTCCTTCCCGCCCCTCCCGCCTCCAGGCAGCGGGACGGGATTCCCCAGACCCGCCTGGTCCGCGGCGCGGCAGTCAGCCGGGGTCGCTGGGGCCGGAAAGTTTGCGCTAAGGAAAGTTTTTTTTTTTTTTCGGGGTGGGGGGGCGCGACTGCGGCGTCCAGGGTCGGCGAAGAGGCGCGGCCTGGGCTGGCAGCCGGCCCGTCCCTCCCTCCCCTCCCCTGCCCCACAGAAATTTGGGAGCCCCGCCATTTTCTTAGCCCCGCTCCCATGTGAGGCCTGAACAAAGACTTTGGGGAGACGCCCGGGCCGCTCGGCCCGCCCCGGGCACCCCGGCAGCACGCAAGGGCCATCGCCACGCACGCCGGCCGCTGCCACCCTCCGGAACCGCTGCGCCCGCCCTAGGGAACGCCGCCAGCCCCAGTCCCCGCAAGGCGCCCTGCGGACCACCCCCTGCCTCTCTGTCACCCCGCAAACACTGCCAGCGGCCACGCTGTCCGGGTGCACGCCACAGTCGCCCACAGGTCGGCGGGAGTCCCGCTGCCCACTGCACCCCAGTCGAGCGCGCGCGCGCGCACACACATACACACACACACACACTCACACACACGCACTCTGGCTCCGCGCTCCAGGGGCAGCGCCACGCACGCAGCCAGCCACCCCCGGAACCCCAATAGGAGTCTGCCCCTGGGCCAGGGTCGCACGCGCACCGGGGCGTCCGGACGCGTGCCCGGACTCCCCATCGCCCGGCTTGCACCCCTCGGCCGCCCGCGGGCTCACTCCCCCCAGCCGCCGCGCTCCCCCTCCGCCCTCCCGCCCGCGCCGCCGGCCGGCCTCCTGCGCCCGCTCCCCTCCCGGGTCGCGCGGGGGCGGCGGCCGGTACCTGGGTGAGGCAGTACGGGGAGTACATAGCTGGACGCCCGGGCGGGAGCGCGGCGGCCGGCCGCGGCGAGGGGAGGCCCGGCAGGCGGCGGCCGCGCTCGGGCTCCGGCTCCGGCTCGGCTCCTCCGGCCTCCGCCGCGCTGCGCCCGCCCGGCCCGCGGCCCCGCGCTCGGCCCGGCGCCGCTCCGCGCTCGCCGCTCGCAGGCTCGGCCCCGCCGGCTCCGGGGCCGCCGCCGCCGCCGCGCTCGCCGCTGCCTCTCGCGTCCGCCGCTGCCGCCGCCGCCGCCGCGCGTCTACTCCATGCCGCCGCCGCTCGGCCGGTCACCCTCGCCCGCCGCCGCCGCCGCCGCCGCCGCCGCCGCCGCCGCGCTGTGAAAGTGAAAGTTTAGACAAAGTTTGGAAGCGGCGCACTCCGGGGAGAGGGAGCGGGCGGGCGGCGCGGGCGGGAGGAGGGGCGCGGGGAGGGGCGGGCAGGGCGGGGGAGCGACGGCCGGCGCGCACACACATACACACACACACATGCACGCACACATGCACACATACACACGCAGACACGCGCGCGCGGGGGCGCACACCGACGCGGCCACCCCGACACGTGCTGGCCCGCGTTCCAAAGCAGACACACGCTGACACGCAGTGAGGCTCGGACCTCCCCATACATGTCACGTACAGAACTCACTGCCACACGTTCCACGGTCCGACAGGGCACACGCAGACACCTACACACGCAGCATGGACACGCAATCCACACACATGCACCAACACACAGGCACACACATACGCAAGACTAGGAAAGCAACTCACGATGCACGCACTGACACGCACACAGGGCCCACCATCACACGATGATGCCCACACACATGCATTTCAACAACAAACCGTGTTTAGACTCCCTAATACAGGTGGACACACTCCAGTACGACCTCACATGGACACACAAGATGCACATCAGTGCAGGTTGACGCCTACAGATTCATCCTGATCCACTGACACTGGCATGATCATACAACCACATCCTCACACACTCCAGACACACAACTGCTATACACAGTCACCCAAAATGCACCTGCAACACACACACACACACAAAGTTGCACCAAAAAACCACCTTGGCAGTTTTGAAGATACACTGACACATTGTCACACAAAGACACACCATCAGACGCCAGGATATACGTGCCAAACACAGGGAAAGCACTGATACGAAGCGACAGTGGCAGTCACAGCAACACACAGGCACACATACCACATGCCTGATTCCCGGATGTACACAAGTGTCACACACAGACACCCAGGCCCCTCCCCTCACACACACACACACACACACTTGTCCTTGGACCTGCTCATGGACATACACAAATCTTCCAAGGGTCACATGTCCCAACCATCAGGGACAGAAATGGACATGGAGGCCTCAGGTACAATACTCACACCCCCTGGTGAGGCTCCCTCCCCTTGTGCAGGCCCCTGATCCCCCATTTCCGGATCAAGGAGGAATGGGGGGAAGGTTGGTGCTGGGGATCCTGGCATGGGGGCAGGGGGAGCCCTTGAATGACCCCCAGGGTGTGTGGGGAGGCAGTGCCTGCAGCCCCCAGGCAGCTCCTGCCCAGACAAAGCTCCCTCCTGCTGCCAGCACCTTCTCATCCTCCTGGGCCAAGAAGCTGTGGCAATTCTCAGCTATGCATTGTCTGCTGGAAGCATGTTGATGCCCAGGTGTGTGTGTGTGTGTGTGTGTGTGTGTGTGTCCGTGTGGGGTGAACATATACCTGAGGGCATATGTTCCCGGTCACATTGCATCATTGAGGCAAGGTGGCCAGCATTGTGTCTCAGGAGTCTGGGTGGGTCTGGCTGTCCTTTGGGGGGAAAGGAGATGGCAGGTCAGTGTATGTCTGCCCAAGAGTCTCTGAATGGACCAGTGTGGTGGAGTAGCAATGCGGGTCTGGCTGTGTGCCTGGGGGTGTCTATGAGTCAGAGGGTGAGTGTCTGCCAGGCTCTGTGCCTAGCGCTGGGGACATAGTAAGGAACAAGACAAAAGATCCGGCATTGGGTGCACTGACATTCTAGTTGGAGTCACGTATATGAAGGGTCTGCTCTTTGACAGGAGGTGCTGGTGATGAGGATGCCACCGTGTGTGTGTTTTGAGCTGACCCCAGTATGTGCACCAACTCTGAGCCTCTTTCTATCAGAAAGTGTCAGTGAATGTGACAAGCTTGTGTGTGTGTGGTATGGATGTAGGTCTCTCTCTGTGTCCCAGAGCATGTGTACCCAGTCAGTCTACGTGTAATCAGGAGCTGTGTGGCAGAAAGAGTGGATGGGTGTCCCTAGAAATGTGTTTCTCTCTGCGGGGTCCCTGTGGATCTGGGGCCCTGATGAAGATCTGTGTGTACCAGAGTGTGTGTACACAGGTGCCTGTGTGTGTCCGGCAGTCAGGGCTCTGTGTCTTTTCAGAGAGTGGGGCTGTGTGTAACAGGCTGTGCTGGTGTGTGTGACTAGGTGTGTGTGCGCGCGACGCGTCGGGCGGGGGAGGTCTCTGTGCGCCTGAGAATGTGCCTGGTTACGTGTGTGTCTGTCCCTGCCGTTCTTGGGGGGCTATATCCTAGGGTCCCACCCATCTGCCCCGGCCTTCCCGCTCAGCATCGCAGCCGCCGCCGATGCAAGGCCGTGGCAGAGGGAATCGATACGTCCTTAAAAATTCAAGGGCTTCTCGTAAACAGAAACTTTTAACACCGTTTAAAGTTTCAGGGCCGCCGCTGCTGCCTCGCCGCCGCCGCCACCGCTGCAGCAGGAGGGCGTGGGGGAGGAGGCACCGGAGGCGGGGTCGGGAGCCCAGGAGAAGGGGCGGGGCCACATGGGGGATGGAGGAGAAGATGCGGAGGGTATGGGGGCTCTGCGGGGCTGAGGGGAGGGGCAGAAAGGGGATTTGGGGATCCCGGGGGCCGGGGGCCTGAATGGCTCAGGAAAGGATGTGGGGGATAGGCTAAGGGGTGGAGAGCGGGGGAGGGGAGGAGAGCAGGAAATGGTGGGGGCGGGGACGGGTCTGGGGGCCTTTGAGGAGGCCCCAGAGAGGCTGGGACTGGCTAGGAGAAGCAGCTAGGGATCTGTAGGCCCAGGAGGGGTTTGGGGGACCAAGGTGGGCTTGGATGGCTTAGGGAAGGAGCAGAGAATAGATCTGGGGGTTACGGGGGCCTGAGTGAAGGGGACACCAGATCAGTGTGGGCCTCTGGGCTGGAGGAGGGCGGTGAGAAAGGTTTGGGGAGTGGGGAAGAACTGGTTGAAGGGTTTGGAAGTGTCTGGGATCTTTAATACAACTCGAAGCTTGGGGAGACCCCCCCACAGCTAGGAGGGCCTCCTTGTAGTGTGAAAGTGTTAGTCACTCAGTCATGTCTGACTCTTTGCCACCCCATGGACTGTAGCCCACCAGGTTCCTCTGCCCATGGGATTCTCCAGGCAAGGATACTGGAGTGGTTAGCCTTTCCCTTCTCCAGAGGATCTTCCCTACCCAGGTATCGAACCCAGGTCTCCCACATTGCAAGCAGATTCTTCACTGTCTGAGCCACCAGGGGCCCTCCTTGCCCCTCTGCAAATAGCCATGAAGTGGTAACCCCTCAGAAGTTCAGTCACCTTTGGATCAGGCCTCCCCCTACCTGGCGGCCTGTCCTCCCAGCCCTGCTCCACAAGCTGCGCCCACTCCCTCCTCACCCTCCTGGTCCTGCATCTGGGCTCTGCTGCAACCAGCATCCCATACCCACTTCATATATGTGTGCCATGAATACACACACACAACATCCATACCCACACACAACCGCCATCCTTCCATTCACACACACCCTCACAGCACAACACCTTTCCCATGCGCACACATACACACTCTCTTCCTTTCACCCTCACACATGTTCACACAAACAGAACATTTGTCCCCATATTCATGCACAGATCCACACTCAGAATTCTCTCCACACACTTACTTCCATACACACAATACGCCCCCCTCCATGCACACACACATCCACTCTGCTCCCCCCTCCACAGCTGTCAGCTGGGAGGATTTTTGCAGAAAGGCTGAAGGACACAGTGGTGGGGGGGGGGGGCCTCCCTTCCTCCTACCCCTCTCCCCTGCAGAGCCCAGGTCTTAGGACCACACCTGGCTTTCAAGAAATCACAGGGGAGGAGGGTGCTGCCAGGGGGCTGGGCACAGCTGGAATGCCACAGCTGGAATCCCCCACATTCCTCCCTGCCGGGGCTGCCCACCCGGCTGCAGCTGGCAGCAGGTGTGTTCTTAAAATGCAGGTGTGTGGGGAGAGGAGGAGGGGGAGGAGCAGGCACCAGGCCCAGGTACTACCCGGCCAGGATGCTGGGGGCAGTGGGAGGCAGTGCCCAAACATCTAGCCTCTTGCAGCCAGGTCCTGGGCCACCAAAGGTGGGGTCAGGCGTGGCTGGGCTCGGTGGGCAGGTGGGCAGGCCCTCCAGAGAGGACGACGAACATCTGGCAATAGGATCAGTGAGGAGCCAGGCTACAGATGCTGCCAGGGCCAGGGAGGGGTGCTCTAGGCCCTCCTGTCAGGACTGGGGATCCCCACTCTTTAAGAGGGGCTTATGTCTTCCCTGCCCAGCCTGTAGGGCATGGTCTGTGCCCAGGCCTGGGGTCCCAGCCTTGTGCTCGCTGGCCCCTCTGTAGGCTGGGAACCCCTATTGGGGACTGCAGAATCACAGGTCCCGCTGCCAAGGTGCCCCTGACCAGGCATCTGCATCCACGTCACACACACACCAGATTCCTACAGTCACACAGGCACAAAATGACAAAGACACATACAGGCATACCCAGACACACTAAGATACAGACCCTCCTCCTCTTCTGGAGGGGTCATATAAATGCTATAACCACACAGACACAGGATCATCCAGAGATGCTGGCGCACACCCTTAGTCCACAGACACACAAGCACACACACAGCCCCAGAGCCATCCCACAGAGTGACACCAGTAACACTCCAGTCACACACAAAGACCCTCACCCTCACATCGACACCCTCCCTAGAAATGCAGACACACACTGACCCACAGAGACACAACCAGACGCAGTTGTGCAACCTCCCAGCAGCACGTGCTGAGCCCGGTTATGCACACACACAAGGCCACACAAAGTCACACAATGACACACAGTCTTACAGACCTTTTAAGCATACACAGAGGCTCTCAAAATCATCCATAGATGTGGCACACACAAAGTCACACACAGACATACAGATGGCATACATAGGGACACACAGATACACAAGAGCAGCCCTGGTCACACACAGTTAGTTAGATCACACACTGACACCCAGAGACATACACAGGTACCCCCAGATCACACATGGGGACGCTCAGGCTGGCTCTCAGCTGCACATAAGATCCCGTAGACACACACACACACGTGCCCCAGCAGCGCAGCCCTACTGGGCCGAGGACAGGCAGGCGGCAGGGCTTCCGGTGGCAAGCGCTCATCTGGAGGCAAGGAAAGAGCTGGGGAAACATTTCATTTGCAGCCGGCTGGAGACCCACCCCACCCGTCCTGGAAACCTGGCCCTGGCTCCTGAATGGGGCCTCTGTATGCCGCCACCGCCCAGCCGACCAGGGTGTGGGTACCAGGGGGTGGGGGGGTGGTGAGGCCAGCCACACCATGTCCCTGGCCGAGCGTCAGGGGCCACCCAGTCACACGCCAGGGCCCAGGCCGGAGTCCTTCAGACCGAAGGAGCCCTCTTCACCCTCATCCCCTGCACATTTAGAGGCCACTCCCCAAAGCCAGCCTGTAGAGGGAAGTCAGAGGAGCCAGGCCAGGCCCCAGCTGGCCCCGGATCTCCAAGTGTCCTCTGTCTCAGGTCCACATATGTCCCCAGGCCAGGCAGCTGCCAGTCCCATGCCACAGGGCCACTCACTCCAGCACCGAGGTGAGACGCCACGGGATGTGACCGTATCTCTGTGTGTGACGGTGCAGTCGGGTTCCCTGTGCTGCCTAGGGGTGGGGGTGCAGCCATCATAGGCCCTTGGCTCCTGTCATCACACACTCCCTGTCACACACACAGTGTCACTGTCACACCTTCCATCACCCAGCCACACACAGCCGCCACTGTCTCATCGTCAGTCACACTGTCACACACAACCGCACTGGCGTACATGCTGTCACACACAACCACACTGTCACACCTTCAACCGCACACAGGGCTGCACCGTCGGCCCTTCAGCCAGCAACACTGCCTGTCACACCCTCAGCCCACGCTGTCGCCCACAGAAATGCCGTCACAGCCTCAATGATGCTGGTCACGCGTGCCTTCAGCCACACCGTCTCACACCTCCTCACACGGACCCTGACACGCTGACCCCCACCCTGTGTCAGCATCACGCTGACCAGCAGGGGCGCACTTGCATACTCGGCCCGGGTGCCCCTGCAGCTGTGTTAGCCACGTGGCCACACACAGTCACTGCCCTGCTCGGTCACAAGGAGGGGAAGCCAATCTGATCACTTCAGCCTCAGGGCGTGGCACGTAGCTGCCCCTGGAGCAATGTTTGAACCCAACCAGCTACTCCAATAACTCGGCAACACACCCTGATTGTCACGGAGCAGGTCACCAGAAGGTACAGGCCACTCGCTTTGGAATTGCTTACAGGTATTCTGATGATGCACGCTCAAGTGTCTCGCTGTTGCAGGTGACAGGCACACAAATGCGCTGACATACTACACCCAGAGTCCCCAGATAGAGCTACAAAGAAACAGTGGGGGACAGCCACACCACGGTGACAGGGACATCCTGTCACACAACAGCCACTCTCCCCACATCTGTCACAACATTGAGACAGCCCCTTAGCCCTCCCAACAGGCAGTCAAAGGTGCTAAATGACCCCCACAATAGTCACTAGGAAACCCCCCAAGGCACGGAGACAGGGAGAGGCCCTCACTGCTACTCTCCTCTACCCACTGCAGTCGGAGCCTGGAGAGCAGGGGGGGCTAATGGACACGCAGCTGTAGGCGGTGGGTGCCAGCCCCCCATCTTATGAATATTCATCAGCTGGGGCTCTCCTGAAACCTGTGAAGAGTTGGAGGTCCCAGGCAGCTGGGCACCCCCTTCATGCCAGGAGGCCCTCAGGTGAGGGGGGGCTCATCCGAGCCCCAGCAGTTCTTGAAACCCACACCCAGTTACACACATGAGCACATATAAGTTTGTGAACAAGACACACAAATAATCATCACACAAACTCACAACCACACCCCACAACAGGGCATCCACCATCACACACAATGGGCACATACACACACTTGGCACGCAAACACAGGCACAGGCTATCACAGGAATGCACGGACACATAATCATGCCCACACCACAGACACTCGAACCACACACACACACACCAGGCGTACAGACACGGACACACACTGTCACACGAATGCACAAGCACACACTCATACCCAACACACAGACACCCACCACACACAGACACCCCCCCCCCACACACACACACTCCAGGCATGCAAAACACAAGGGCAAATTGTCACAAGACCGCTATCACACCCAAACTACACAGACACCATCACACATAGGCATGAAAACACATTCATAGAGATACGCAGGATCTCACTCTGTCCACCCTGACGTTTTACAGAAGGGGAAACCGAGGCACCGAGTGGCTGAAGTCCCCTTGAAGCAGGATGGCCCCTCCTGACTCCAGGCAGAGGTTACCTCCGGGCGCCCCCTGCTGGCCCGGCCCCTTCACGAGCGCGCGGTACGGGCACGCGCCTGACGTAACCATGGCATCCTCTTGGCACGAGCGGCCCGCGCGCAGGGAGGGCGGGGCGGGCGCGTTGCCATGGCGCCGGCGGGCCGCGTGAATGGGGCATTGTTCGCCCCGGCGCCCGGGCCGGGCTGTCCCGGACCCACCCGGACCCACTCGGGCCGGCAGAGACGGGGAGAGACAGACAGAGCTGTAGATGGGGAAAGACACACAAGCCGAGTGAGAGACAGAGGTGGAGAAGGAGATGGGAGAGACCTGCAAGAGAAACGCACAAATAAGGAAGGACAGAGGGAAGGGGCCAAAGGAAGGCAGAACCGGAGATCGAGATGGAAAATGAAGGGCTTCAGTGGGAGACAGGACCAGTCAGCCGGTACCCACGGAGCCCACTGTGCCTGGCAAAGAGGACACATAGACAAAGTCAGAGATGCTAAGTGAGAAGAGACACTGCTATACAGAGATCCAGAAAGCACGAGGGTCAGAAATGGGGAAGGAATGAAGGAAATGCTTTGAGCATGTCTGGTCCTTCCCACCTGGGACCCCTCTCCATTCCCATTTGGACCACAAGTCTTCCCTGGTCAGACCCTCTCAGAAGGCACACCTCTGTTCTACATGTCTTCCCACTACAACTGACAAGACATCATTGCCACAGGCACCAAGTCAGGGACACTGCCTCCAGACACTCCGAGACACCCTTATGGGCACAGTGACACCCACAGATATACACACAGACTCTTAGTGACCCAATCATGATCCCAGCTAGACACACCCATATGACAGGGAATAGTACCCCACACCCCCAGAGTGACAGTCAGAGTTACAGATGTGGCCCCATCAACGTACATGGCATGAGGACCCTGCCAGCCACATAGCCTCAGTAACACATGACCACACACCACCACGCAGGCTCACCAGCCATGGGATCACTGTCTGGTATGCGCCCACACAGCGCACCCTCACGTATGCACTCACTGACACCTTCACAGACACTCACATGCCCTCTTCTCAATCGGACCCACTGACTAGGTGCCCTGTCCCCTGGTCCAGACTGCTATCAGTGGGAATGCTGGGTCCAGATCTCCAAGCTTGAGAGACATCAGTCACCAAGTGAGACTGGGAGGGGTGGGGAGGGAGGTGAAGCCTTGTCCCTCTACACCTCCAAGGGCTGGGTCAGTCTGGGCCAGGGTGGTCCCCTAACTCCTGGCTGGGTCAGCTTGGCCCAAGTCTGAGCCAAGGGTGTCCCCTGGTGGCCATATGTATTCTCTGCACCCATCAGGTTGGGGTGGGAGGTGGTGTGGAGCGCCCCGCCCTGTCTGAATGGAAGGGCAGAGAGGGCAGGCCAGACTCAACACACAGAACTCAGAGATGGGAAACCAGGCTCCAGAAGCAAGAACTCAGATCCAGAATTCATAGCCTGGAATCCAAACTCCGGAATTCAAAACCAGATCTCAGAATCAAATCTGAATCTAGATTCCCAGATACCAAAATCTAGAATCCAGATCCAATTACTCAGGACCCAGAATCTAAAGTCCAGATCCATGGGACTTCCCTGGTGGCTCAGTGATAAAGAATCCGCCTGCCAGGGCAGGAGACGATCCCCGATCCAGGAAGATCTCCTGTGCCACAGGGCAACTACACACCTGTGCCACAACTCCTGAACCTGTGCTCTGGAGCCGGGGAGCTACAGCTACTGAGTCCACACGCCCTAGAGCCCACGTTCCACAACAAGAGAAGCCACTTCTGTGAGAAGCCTGCAAACCGCAGCTAGAGAAAAGCCTGTGCAGCAACAAAGACTCAGTGCAGCTAAAAATAATACATACGTAAATAAAATCACTTTTAAAAATTAAAAAATAAAAATCCAGGTCCAAGTGTCCACAATCTAGAATCCAAAAATCTAGATCCTGTCCTCCAGAATCTAGAATCAAGGCCCCAGTGGGAAATTACCTGGCAGACCAGTGGTTAGGACGTGGTGATCTCCCTGCCAGGGCCCCAGGTTCAATCCCTGGTTGTGGAACTAAAATCACATAAGCCGTACAGGATGGCCAAAAACAAACAGACAGAAAGAATGATCGAGGACCCAGAATCCAGATCCAAGAAGACAGGGTGAGTAAGACAGGAGCCAGCTTCTTCAATCCCCCACATGAGAGCCTCAGCAGCAGGGGCTTTGAGGACAGGAACACACGGAAGGGGCAGGAGAGGAGCCCTGCGCCGACCACAGAGCCTCTCTCCTAGCTGCTGCCTCTGTGCATCTTCAAACACGCACACACACTTCAACAGGATCTTCTACACAGACCCACATACCCAGACTTACAGCCTCTGACCATCAGGTGTACAACACCACACACCCTCAGATACACATGCACAAAAACACACCCCCATCACACACATTACATCACACATTCACCCTGACACACACCATCACCCAGAGACACCAGATCTGCCACACACTCCTCCCAGCATCTGAACACCCACCCATCTGTGTACCGACATGATCTCTGCACTGCCCCCCAGCCCTGGCCAACCCCCTTAAGCTCAGGCACACAACCACCACACCCAGAGACACATAAAAAGCCAGGACTCCCAGCCCTGCACACAGATACACTCACAGAATTGTGGAGGCTGGCATGCGCGCGCGCGCGCACACACACACACACACACACACACGAACTCTCCCAGGCACAGAGAAGCCTGTGCCTTGGCAGGCATGCAGCCCCTGGGAACGGGACCCCTGGGACAGGGCTCACCGTGCACCCCCGTGCCCACCCCAGCCCTCCCCCGCCTGGCCGGCTGGCGGGCTTTAATACAGATGCCAAACTCATAATTGTAACTGAGGGTGACAGGGTCACCTTGAGCCCCAGATGCTCGCACGGTGACAGATGGCGTTGGCAAACCTGATTATCGGCCCCTGTGCCAGCGCCTGTGGCACCTGCATCCCCCACCCCTCCCCGCTCCCCCAGCACTCATTACCCACCCATTACTGGGCCTGGGGGGTGGGGGTGGGGGCCGGCTAGCATTGCCCAGGAGGGGGCAGGGACTCCAGGGGCCCCCCCTGGCACCAAGTTTCCCAGCTGGCTCCCCGGCTGGCAGGAGGTGGGCACAGCTGAAGCAGGGCGGCGGGGGGCGGGGAACAGCCACCTCGTGCCTGCCAGAGAGAGGGGTGCTCACAGTGCCAGGGCCAAGCTGCCCACTCGGACCTTGCTTGGGGCTGGCACAGAACCCTGGAGGGAGGAGGAACAGCATGCCCCTCTCGGTGGGCCTTGGGTGACCCTCCCCCACTCAGGGCCTTGGGAGCTGCCCGCCTGGCCTGTTCCCACCCCCCTGCGCAGGCCTGTGGGGTCAGAGTTCACAGGCTCCCACGCCCCGCGGGCCCATCTGTTTCCTCGGGTCCCCCCCTCCTGCTCCCCTCACCTGGGGCCTTCCTTCCTGAGGCAGGAAGAGGGCTGAGAGGGGCCTGGCCAGCCCCCCGCCCCGCGCTCCAGGGGGCATTTGGAGGGAACCCCGACAGCGCCACATGTCCCCGCGTCTGTGCCAGACGGGTCCATCTGCTAGGGCCCTGGTTCCAGCCGCCCAAAGCCAGGCTGCCCTCGTCCGCTGCGGAGCCTGCACCCAGCTGAGGAAAGGGCACCCCAGATGCCCACGCTCCAGTCCAGGGCCGCCCATTCCCAGGAAACCTGACTGGAGGGACACACACACACACACACATATCTACACACACACACTATACACATGTACACACACTACACACATGTACACATACACCATCTACACACACGTCTACACACACAAATCTATCTACACACATCTATACACATATATCTACACACACATCTATGCACACAAGTATCTACACACACAGATGTACACACACATATGTGTGTTTAGTTCCTGAGTCATGTCTGACTCTTTTGCAACCCCACGGACTGTAGCCCACCAGGCTCCTCTGTCCATGGGATTTTCCAGGCAAGAAAACTAGAGTGTGTTGCCATTTCCTTCTCCAGGGGAATCTTCCCCCCCAGGGATCAAACCCACATCCCCTGCATTGGCAGGAGGCTTCTTCACCGCTGAGCTACCAGGGAAGCCCCCCCCACATACACACACACACCACTAGATGCGGTCCACCTTTATGGTCCCTGTAGATGCCGCACTGAGCATGCCGCTGCGTGGAAACTCGGGGTTGGGAGGAAATGACAGGAGGGCAGCTGGAGGCAGATGGGTCCTGTCTCTGACTCAGGGCGCCCAGGTTTCCCCCAGCAGCTCCATCTGTCTCCTGGCCTTGGTTTCTTGGGATCCCTAGGACCGGGTCAGCGCTGTGCCTCCCAGTCTGGGCTAGGCCATCTGTCCTCCCTGCAGCTGGGAGTGTCTTTGACTCATTCTATGAGAGGAGGTCCAGCGCAGTGGTTTAAAACAAGAACCACCAGGCCTTGGGTTTGAATGCTGCCTCTACCACATACTGCTGTGTGACTCTGAGGAAGTAATTTTGTCTCTTGGGGCCTCAGTTTCCTTTTCCATAAAATGGGATGCTACTGGGACTTCTCTGGTGGTCCAGCGGTTAAGACACTGAACTTCTACTGCAGGGAGCATGAGTTCAATACCTGGTCAGGGAACTAATATCCCACATGCTGAGTGGAGTAGCCAAAAAGTAAAAAAAGAAATAAAAAGATGCTACTAACCCCTATATCATGGGGCTACTCTGAGGATAACATGAGTTGTGAAAGTAGTGAAAATGTTAGTCTCCCAGTCATGTCCAACTCTTTGTGACCCCATGGACAGTAGCCCACTAGCCTCCTCTGTCCATGGAATTCTCCAGGAAAAAATACTGGAGTGGGTAGCCATTCCCTTCTCCAAGGGATCTTCCTGAGCCAAGGATCAGACCCAGGTCTCCTGCATCACAGGCAGATTCTTTACTATCTGAGCCACGAGTCAGTGCCTATCAAACACTTAAGAGTAGGGCCTGGCAAACAGTGAATGCTCAATAAATGTGCGCTTTGAGACTCCCACAGCTGGGGCTGGGCCTGGCGTCCCCAGAAGCAGGGAGGACTCTGGAGATCCGACTGGCTGTCCCTGCATCCCTGGTTGCTGGACCCAGTGTACCTGGTCCAGGTCCGCGCCTCTCTCAGCCTGTCTTCCTGCATCTCTCCAAGGTGCGTGCATCTGTGTGTCTATCTGTGATGCTCAGCTCATGCCTTTGGGCTG